GAGCCGAAGGCACCACCGGCCCAGACTTTGGATATATTGCAGAGTTGTACTGATAAAATCAACATAGCACTGGCCCCAAAACAGACGTGATCAGTGGAACAGGATAGAAGATCCAGAAATGACCCGTGGCACCTTCAGCTGTCTGGCATTTCACAGAGGGGCCACAGATGCACGCTGGAGGAAAGGTAATGTCCTTAGGACATGGTGCTGGGGAAGCTAGCTATCCACATGCAGAAGATTGAAGACAGGTCCACACCTCTCACCATTTATGAAACTAAAATAGATGTGGATAAAAGATATAAATATTAAAACAAATACTTAATCTGTTGGAAGATACAATAGAGAAAACTCTTAATGGCTTAGTCCAGGACTTTCTAAACCGAACCGCAGGTGCACAAGAAATAACGTCAAGAATCAGTAAATGGGATCAGATCAAACTAAAAGCTTCTGTACACAAAGGAAACGACCACAAAAGTCAAGAAACAACCAACAGAATGGAAACACATTGCCGATGATCCTTCAGGCAGAGGACAAATATCTGGAATGCATAAATAACTCAAAAAACTAAGTTCTAATAAATGAAACACTCAATCAAAATGGGCCACTGAAAAGAATAGCCACTTCTCAGAAGAAGTACAAATGGCCAAGAAACACATGAAAAACAAGCTCAACATCACTAGCCTGGAGAAAAATGTAAATTAAAACAATATTGTGTTTGCATTTCACTCTAGAAAAAAATGGCTAGCCACTGGTCCCACCCCCTGGGCAAACTAGGCCGGCCACTGAGAACCAGCACTGTGGCATGCACCTGCAATCCCAGTGCTGGGGAGGCTGAAAACAGGAGGATGAGTATGAGTCTGAGCTGCATAGTGAGACCCTGTACTCAATACATTAAAAGAAAAGAGAGAGAAGAAAGAACGAATGGCTACCATCAAGCAATCAAATAATAACAAATGTTCGTGAGGCTACAGATGAAGAGCGGAGCCCAAGCCCATCTACATTGTTGGTGGGGATGGGAGCTACTACTGCTGAAATGAGTGTAGTGACTCTGCAAAGCACTGAAGATAGAAGTTGCACTCAGCCCGGCTGTTCGCCCTGTACATGGCTCCCTAAAAGAGTAAAGTCACCATATCACAGTGCTGTAAATGCACCCACATCTATAGCAGCACAATCACGAGAGCTAAATCTAGGTAATGACTCATTTATTATTAGTTGTAGTGATCGCATCTTACAGTGAAAACTAATCTGTATTTCCTTAAATGTTCTAAAATGAAGATTTATTTATTTTTTGTATTTGGGACAGGGTGTACAGGAGGGACAGGGTCTCACTGTGCAGATCAGACTCATATTGATTCTCCTGCTTACAGCCTCCCAAGAGCTGGGATTACAAGTGGGTGCCACCATGCCCAGTCTCAATCACGGTCTCAGTGCACCCTGGGGGCGGGGCTGGCACAGCAGGCCCGGGGATTGAACTCCCAGCCCCTGCATCTGCCTAAGCAGGCGCTTTAATCTGCTGAGCTATTTGGCTGGCCCTAAAATTCAGATTTTAAAATTTCATTAAATAAAAAATTACTAACTATAACAAGTACATACATTTGGGCATTATAGAGACCTGACTTTAAATCAGGCCTTTCTTACGTCCCATCACATATCTCTGCAGCAAATTATTTTACTCTGGATCTTCAGTTACATTAGTTAAAAATTGGAGTTAAAAAATTGGAACCAAAATGTTAAGTTAACTTCTGAAAGTTATCTTAAGCATTCTACTAAATGATGCATGCAGTGCTCTTCATGAAGTGATAGAAGCGGGGTGCTGGGGCAGGAAGAGGGGAGAGCTTCAGGCCAGCCTGGACCATATAAGGAGACCTTGTCTCAAAACAAACATAAAAGAGAACCCTGAAATAAAGCAACATAAGAGACAGCAACATTAAACGCTGTTAAGATTATATACAAAGCTAGAAGAAGCACAATCTATAAGCCTTAGTTGCCCTGGTGCTACACACTTAGTTGACATCATTGTAGGGACTGAAGAGCTCATTTTGGATTTGAATGGCCAAGGAGGTGGCTGGGATCAGTAAGCATTGAGTTAGAGTACTGTACAGCAATTCTACAAAATCAGGATCGGGGTGGAAAACTTGGGAGGGAGTGTGGACACTAAGCAGCTTTAGGCTAGTCACAGAGTAGTCTGAGCCCTGGGGCCAGAAACACAGTAACTAGGACTGATAGAAAAGCTCCAGAGCTGAACGACAACCACTTTCTGTAGAGCATGCTAAAGAGTAAAAAGAGCGACTTGGATAGGAACATGGAGGCTTGACTGCACCAGGCCATGAGGAGTGGAGGAGTCTACTCAAAATCGGGGGAGGGGCTCCCAGCTACCTGCTTGGGCTCCCCCATCTCCACCCGCACCCCCATGTGTGGTTGGTAAAATCACCTTGACTACATGGACAAAGGGTACTTTGGGGGTGAGGCAGAGGCAACACAGAGGTGGAGTGAACATGCGACTTCTTGGCCGTTGTGACTTTTCAAACTCTACCTTCCTGAATTTGTATCAGTCATTTTCCCACCATCTCCAACCATCTTTCTTTTTCACATAGTTGCCAATTTCCTCACACAAGCTTTGCCCTCTCTCTGTACCTTCTTTCCTCAGTGTCTTTTATTCACTTTATCTTTCTTAGTCCAGATTTCCACATGTCATAGAAACTTGGAACCCATAGTATGTAGGACCACTGGGCCTTAAAATGTGTTTTTACAGAGAGCAAATTGGTCAAGCAATGGCCGTGACTCATCCTCAGGTCAGACACTGACAAAAGAATGTACAAAAGGTGGTACAGGGCAATAGAATAAATCCTGGGAGTACTTGGCTGACCTTATCAGATACAAAAGTTACAATTCTGGGTGTATAGGTCTTGCTATATCTTGGTCTTAACCATCCAGTAGAAAAGTATAAAAATGAGGTATATACAGTAAATCCATATTAATATGATGAGCTATAAAAGGCTCAAGTCAATAACTTCTGAGGATAACCCATTAATATTATAGACTGCTAGACAGTATTAGATGTTTAGTTGAATTCAAACACTTATAGTATTTAGATGCCAATAGAATATTCACCTCTGACAGGACAAAAAATAAATAAATAAATAAATAAATAAATAAATAAATTTTTAAAAGGAAAAAAATAGAAATAGAAAGAAGCAGTCAATGCTCTAATTAGCTTCGTCTCCTTTTTTCCAATTGTTTGTACTTTTTCTTTTCTTAATTTCTTATACATTGCTCCAGTTTTTTCTTCTTCCAATATCTGGTAATATGAATAGCTGGTTGTCAGACAATACCATGTATTACAACAAATACTGTGAAATTCATATTACTTTGTTAAGTAAAATTCTGTATGAGTTGTCAAAAAATAATAAAAAAAATAAAATGTATTTTTAGCATGCAATCTTTTGGTTTAAAACCTAGTCAAAATATGATTCATATTAGCAACATACTGCTTTTATAAAACTTGAGGATTAGAAATTATTTGTAAAATTTCTTGATTCCTCATTATATTCTTCACTATCTCTGAGAATTAAAGTGAAAAACTACTTGTTGTAAGTCTAATGTCAAGAAGAAGATTTGTCTTGCTGACCTCCTGTTTTCCCTCTGCTTCACTTGTCTGGGCCCCCACAGTACCCACAGGACATACGAAGGGGGCTTGCCTCTGTAGACACTTCATTGTCATTCAGGAGAGGGGACTTCACCTCTCAGACATTTGGGATTTTGCCCTCATTTCATGACTAATTAAAGTCATTTTGACAGAGTCATAAATTAATTTTTTGAGCTAAAATTCCTGAAATCTGTGCCTTGTTCCAAGATCTTTAAAATGAACTCTGAGTAATTAAATTTAAGAGTTGTCATGTTAATCTTTATTAGTATCTGAAGGAAATGACTGATGGGAGATTAAATATTTCAGCATCTACATGTTCACATAGAAAGGGGAACAAGGGGGGAAGGGGAAGGAAAGGAGGGCAAAGAAAAAGAACAGATGGAAGAAGTGGATACAAAGCTTTTGTAAATAAGGAGGGGAACAGGGGTGGAAGGGAGGAGAGGGAGTTGGAGGAAAAAGAATATATATTATGTACAGGTACAAATTTCCTGTGATAAATATGATCATGATGCATTATGTAGACTATATCACTAAACTTAATTTAAAAAGAATAGGTTAATAATTAAAAGCATTCATTCCATCAACAATATCCTTTTGTTGTCTTCCACTTTGAGTGTCTTCACTTTGAACTAGAAGACTGTTAAGATATCTTCAGATTAGAGCAACCAGGGTCCAATTCAAGGCTCATTCAGATTGTAAAGCTATTTTCATTTTATGAGCTCTCTGCTCATGTTCTTTGTCTCCTGAGGACAGCACTTATAAAACAAATGATAACGTGAGTCTTGATTTTATTTTTATGAGCAACTATATCTGATAATTAATTGTTGGTGATAACTTGGTTTTAACCTAATGAATACAGCCCTAAGCATCTATAATCATGAAGAACAAGGATCGTGTTATATAAATATTTTACCCTATTGGCTTAGAAAATGCTTTGTTAATTGGCTGATTCACATTTCTACTCAAAGAGCATCTTTAGATAAATGGAGCTTTTACATAATACCCTCAGGAAAACTCTTGGCAAACATCCTGTGCTTTTTACCATACGGGTCTCAAAGTGTGTCAGAGAAACATGAAAAGCAAACCTTTAGAAAGAATATTAGACCTGTTGCAAAAAGCTTCTAGCTCGTCTGTTCCCTTAGGATTGACAGAGTGGAAACAAAGGAACGTAACTTGGTTTTGTCTTCTGTTATACCAGAATGATAACTCTTAACTCCTATGATCCTAAAGCTGATAATTGGATAACTTTTATTCATTCATAACTGCCTTGAAAATCCGATCCTTTCTCCAGTGTTCCCTGTTCCCGGGCTTCTCCGGCAGGCGTGAGTGAACTGACGGAGGTTGTTCCCTGCAGCTCTCAGGTGGGCGGCGTCCGGAAGATGATGGCTTGTGTGCAGAGACGCATGGATCACCTCACCAGGCAGTGCTCAGCGCGTGAGGAGTTAGCTGCCAAGAACCAGCAAATCTCAGCCTTGGTGGAGGGTTACCTCGAGAAGGTAGCGTCACAAAAAGAAACGTGAACGCTCAGTCGTGATCATCGATGGTATTCAGACTGACTGCAGGTTGTGAGTGTGGTGGAAGGAGGGGGCCCATGTCTAAGGTTTCTGTGTCCCACGTCAGAACCTACGCTTGGACAAAGCGGCCGGAATTCACCACTGTTCCTTAAGCATTCCTGACCCCAAAATAAGCATCTAATCTAGTCGGCCACCGCACTGAACACACAAATACAAAGGGAGCCCTTGCCTTCACAGCTCTGTTTCCCAGACCACATACTCACTAGGATGGGTGCTGGATTTGCACTCTTCTGGGCATGGTCCCACAGGATAAGTTTCCATTAACCTGGAACCATGGAACTCTGGGATTATGGGCAGATGGATACCAAAAGTTATGGTTTTGGGGTTTTTCCAGAAATAACCTGTTATTATCTTATAGAACCAGACCAGCACAAGAGGTTTATTCATTCTGCATGAAAGCATACAAGGGCAAATCCTCTTGGATGAATAAACACACTGGTCTCTGGCAGGGAGGAGACAACCAACAGTGATTGTAGAAACATCTTTTCTCCTATTTTTCTTTCTTTTTCTTTTCTTTTTTTGTATGTTAGGGAAGGGTCTACAGGGTCTCACTACTAGATCGGACTCGCAGTGATCCGCCTGTTTACAGCCTCCTAAGAGCTGGGATTACAGGCACGCACCACCATGCCCAGTCTCAACTGCCGTATCAGTGTGCCCCAGGGGTGGGGCCGGCACAGCAGGCCCGGGGATCGAACCCCTGGTCCCTGGGCCTCTTGCAGCCACTTTAATTCGCTGAGCTATTTGGCTGACCCTCTTTTCTCCTATTTTCAAAGAGCAGTAAAGACAGGGAGTTAAACTTTGACAAAAAACAAAAATACTTACAAGTGGGTTGGATAAATAGCAGAAGCTAGTAATGTCCCAATGCACTGACATGACAAAGGCCAGCTCAAATTTTCAACGGGGTCTTCACCAGCTACCATGGCCATCTGCAGTATCTGCGTGCGTACAATCAGTAGGCTTGGCAGGGGAGGATGTTCCATCCAGTGCCTGTGTTTACATCACCTCCTTATCTGATAATGACCCAGAAACTTGAGCTTTTGAGCCTTTTCCTGGTGCTGGGTCCAGGAAGATTCTGAATACAGAGACGTGCTGGTACCACGTTCTCGAGAGCTTGAGCTACTTTGCTGGTGGAGGAAAATTCAGTGGGGACACAAGCAGCCATTGCTACGTGTTTTCCTACCAACTTGTAGCCTGTTTGGCTTCAGCGAACGTGGACTCTGGGTAGAGCAAAGGAATGAAAGAAGTAACGTGGATGGAGCAGAACCTTTCAAGTGTCGCTTTATCTATTGATTCACAGATACTGCAGATCAAATCACAAATCCCCGAGCTGACGCATCAAATTGCATACACAGAGCTTAGTGCTTTCCCAGAAGCCCTGAGTCCTAAATACAGCAGCTCATGTGAGCCAGTACCTGTGCTTGGGATCGCTACTCTAAAATGTGCCTATGAATGTATCCAATTCAACGTACAGATTAATACATCGTTGTTGATGTGTCAGCAAATGTATTATCATCCTTTGTAGGTAATTTACATTATGTGGGTGATTGCTTGTATTTCGGTGCTGTTGAGGAGTCACTAGTATTATCTTGCATGAAGAAAAGCATTATTCAAGTGTGAAATTCTGAAATATTTTAGACTATTTGCAAATTAAAACTGATATATTTTTGTACACACTGGGAAAACACCAATCAACATTTATTGTCCTCACCTATATATATCTGTATGTGCAGATATATATTATTAAAACTGTCATATATTTTTTATTCCTAAAGGTGGAAATGTCTGTTCAGAAAATCAGTCCAGTACTTTCCAGGGCAATGGATATTGGCTCTAGCCTTTTTGAATCAGAGAAGATTCTGCATAAATATCTGGAACTAGATATCGAAGTCAAGGTATATAAAATATGAATTGCTGTGATGGTTATGATTATGTAAATATGATCTTTTAAAATATTCCACAACTATAAAACTTAACTCTAGTTTTCTTGAGGGTTTCAGTTCTCTATTAGTATGTAGCAAACAATGACTTAAAAATTCATACTGTTGTGTGTGGCTAAGTTATTTGTATTTTTAGGGACATGTAAGCTCATTGAAAGTCAGGAGGATGGCCTGGTGCTAAGCACTCATTTGGTCCTTTTCCTTGCCTGAAAGGAGGTAGCAATTCAGGCAGGGAGGGCCCTTCTCTAAGATTACTTGGGATTGTGTGCAAAGTGACAAAAGAAAACTACCAGAAGCAACACACTGTTGCAAGACCTGACCTTACTCACATACTCAGTCTTCAGAGACATTCACGGCCCCTCCTCACCCGGAACCCTCTCTCTCCATCACCCTCCTATCTTTTTCCCTGTGGGACATGGATTCAGAGATTCCTACTCGAGAAACTCGTGCCAAAGTCGCTGCCTGCCACTTCAGGGCTTAGTGGCAAGTCAGTGTTCGCCCTGGTGCACGGGGCGCCCCTTTCAGAAGTGACATCCCCCTAGAAATCGGGGCATACCATTTGTTTTTAAAATGGGGTACTTTTTGTGCATTATTGAAAAAGGTAAATACGAAACTGTCCTACCAATTTGATTTGAAACTGTCTCGTTGCTATTTGTTTCTCAGTAAAATTATGGAAAAAAAGAAAAGGGTAAATAAATGTTGCACAGAGATACAGTTTTCTGTTTTGTTTTGTTTTTAGAAATTTTAGAATCAGGGAGGCAATTGAGAGGAAAGAAATCCCCCTCCCACTCGACTCCTCTTCTCCAAATGCAACCAGGAAGCGGGGCTTGTAAATTACAATTAGTTTCATTCAGCAGAGGACTTGGGAAGCATATTAAAGACAAGTAGGAAAGCAATCCCTCCTTCTCCAATGAGAGTGAAACTTCCCTTTCATTTCTGCTTGATTTCTAGCTTATTCCCACATGAAATTTTACATGCTTCTTTCCATGGCAATTATGCACTCTTATGTCACTCAGTTATGGGGACACATTCTGAGAAATGTGTCATTAGACCGTTTTGTCACAGTAGGAGCATCACAGCCTGTCCTTGTGCAAACCTAGCTGGGAAAACTGACTGATCAGTACGAACTTTTGATGCAACCAAGAAATGCAGTCTATGTGAGACATGTGTGTCTTCTGCCAGCAAAATCAGGCACACAGTTTACCACTAAGTAGATGAATGCGCTCTAAAATGCCAAGAAATATAGTAAACACAAGCCAATAATATAGTCATTTATTATCACTATCAACTATTACATATTACGCATAATTGTGTGTGTCATATTTTATATGATTGGCAACACATTATGTTCTGTAAATACCAGTATCAAAACACATAAATAATGCGTCAGACTGTGACCTGTGTTGGCCACTAGGCTCTAGGAGCTTTCCTGCTCCACTGCAAGCTGAAGGAGCCACCATCCACACACGTCCAATCCATCATTAACAGAAATGGTGTGATTCCTACAATACCAACTCATCCATTTCATCAGGAATTGGAGTCTGTAGGGCGGAAAGTACACAGGACAACACGGGAACATCCCTAGGCAGGCAAAATTGGCTGATTCTTTGGATTGCATAGGTTTAAGGTATAAAGTTCCTACCCATGTTTAGGTTCTTTCAAAAAAAGATTTAAATAAGATTGCATGATTGATATTTGATTTAAATAACCTAAAAATGAATACGTTTTATAAATTTGCTGTCCTCTTGTATGACAAGTTTAGTTTCAGAACTTGCTTCACCTATTGTTACATTTCTTACAACAATTTTCACACAGGAGTATTTAAAATATTCTTGCCATTTTTGTTTTGGAAATTCTTAGACCAACTGTTCTTCTGTTTGTGACACAGAAAATAAAATGTACTAAAGAAGGTATATAGCTGATAGAGCCAAGCAGGGATTTGAGAGGATTTTTAATTTAATTTATTTTTTATTTTTTGTATTTTAGGGAAGGGCCTACAGGGTGTTCAGGGTCTCACTACTAGATTGGACTCGTAGTGATCTGCCTGTTTATAGCCTCCCAAATTCTGGGATTATAGACGATTCCCACCATGCCCAGTCTCAATTGCCCTCTCAGCACACCCCGGGGGGCAGGCCCTGGGATCCCCCAGCCCCTGGGCCTGCTTGCAGGCACTTTAATCCACTGAGCTATTTGGCGGGCGCTTATGTCTTTTTTCTTTTTCTTTTTGGGAATTTAGAAAGCTGCGCCTTTCTTTTACAGAGGAAGTCCACAGTACAAGTTCAATTAATTATTGTAATAAAGGGTGGTGCAGAAGGGTGATGAAACGTAAATGTTCACAGTGGCCCCGTCGGCTTCTGACCTCTTCCGCTTTCCTTCCTAGGAGACATCACATGCATTAGAGGCGGCTGCAAAAATCATGACAGAGAAAAATGAATTTGACCCTGATGACGTGGCACCACTTCCCCTTAAAACTAAATGGCTAGAGGAAGAATTAAGCATACTCAGCCAAAGCATCAGTTCCAGGTCACAAGTCCTGCAAACGTACGTGGCATTTCTAAAGTCATCAGAGGAGGTAGGTTCACATGCTGACCTGTGTCAGCCAGGTGGCTTCTGCCCATCTTTGTGCCTCCAGGGGGGACACAGCCCTTCCCTGGCAAATAATTCCAGGTCCCCTACTCAGGACACACTTTCTATAGGCCCTTTACTCTTCAGGGCGCCGAATGCTCCAAGAGGGAGTTGTTTCACAGTTTAAATATGTATGTGTAGATGTCGGCACAGCTAAGGTATTTCAACGCTGTTTGTTGCATCTGTCCATCTATACAATATCCTGAATCTAGGATAAAATTATTTGGAAAAAAATCATCTTCTACTTCATGGATTGCTTTGACTACTAAGCAGTTCATGTGGTTCATTTAAGTCACTGCAGGCAAGCCTGTGGCATGCGTGCCGCAGCGCGCTCTCTACATTTTGAGAAGCTCTAAAGGTTTGTGGTCACTAACAGCAAAACAAGAAGACACCAATAGGCTACGGGTCGAGCCTCTCCTGCATCTTGCTTGATAGTTCCTTACTAGTTCCTCTCTGAGATGCCACTGAGGCTTTATTTGGACTTGATGTTAGATGGCCTCTGATTCCCCCAGTGCACTGATTTCACCTCTCCAATGTAAAGTTTCTTCAAGATGATGTCAGTGGTAGGAAAGTGTCATTTAACCAGCGTCCCATGTGAATGCCTATCACTGTCCCCATGTGAATTCAGATGGAAGCTGATTTAGTGGGGACCAGTGAGGTCTACTTAGGGGCCAGCCACCCCAAGCCAGGTAGCATGCTCGGTTTCTAGTTTCTCTCCTCTGACCTCCTGAGCCCCCTCACGCTCACTCCCTGCTACTACCCTCCTGCCTTCAGGCGTCTCCTTGGTCCAATCAGAGCTCGTGCCACCCTGGAGAAGCCTGTGTATAGTCCCTGGACATCTCAGGCACCCACTCTGTCCTTTTCTGCATCTTTCCTGAACCGCTTGTCATTTCTGACTTCCTTCCGGTTCGTGACCCTAAGCTCTCATGGTTTGCAGAAGTATCCTGATGGACAGGGTCCCTCTGACACTGAACACTTTTATTCAGAACATGAAATGGTAGGGAAACTGCCATCAATGCCCGCTTTTTGCCTCTTCCCTGCCCACAAGGTACCCATTTGACTTTGTACTAAGCATCCACTGCCCTGCCCCCCTCTGGCCCCTGGGACCAGGAGCCTCTTTAAGGTGGAACCTCAGCTTTTCAGTGCTGCCTTCTCAGAAGAACCTCGCATCCTGCAGCTTCCCTGCTTTCACCAATTCCCTTTTCTGACCCTCAGAGGTCTTCATCCTGCCGATCCTGCAATGCTACCAGGCTGTTACCCCTGCACCCTGCCTTACCCATAGCCTCATCTGCTCCTGGTTACTCATTTCCCCTCCTCCACCCTCTTCTGGGCTCCCTGCTCCCGCCAGGGCTGACTGCGCCAGCTCCCCACACTGGTTCAGTCCAACACTCTGTTTGCTCAGCTTCTCTACCCAATCTTGCAGGCCCACCTGCAGCATAGCACACACCTGTGCTGACTGGCGTTGCCGCAATGGATGGGTTTCTGCCTCAGCGGGGTCCCGCATATGCTCCCTAGCCAATGCCCATTCAGCAGTGATTCCCAAGCATCTCACCCATTCCCATGGCTAAGGCTCAGCCCAAGCCTTACTTTACCCATCCTAAAAACTGAGGTCATTGAGCCTTAATTAATTACTTAATTTATTTCGATTTTTTTAAAGATAGCACAAAATAGTATTAAACAGAGAAAAATACAAATGATAATAGAACTTCACTAAAAAATACGAATTTGACAGTACTTGTTCTATCGCATAATGTTGTCTTCAAATTAGTTGATCAGATCACCACATACAAGCATGCAAAATTGGAAGAGGAAATAGAAAAAGAAAAGACAGTTATAAGAAATACAAAAGACAAAAGGGAAAATATTGAAAAAAGAAGAGAAAAAATTAAGCATTGACATCTCCTTTCCACAGACCATTAGAAAGCCACAGTGCAGTTATCCAAAGCATCCTGCTCGTATACACAGCTGTATCTCTCCCCCTCCTCTCCTGTCCTTCTCATCTCAGTAATTCCTTCCTTTTGAACAGGTTCATTCCTTTTTCACAGTATCTATTGTGCCCTCCAGATTTTATTTTCTCTTTCAGGTTCTTATGCTAATGAGACAATGCGATGTTTGCACATATAGGTCGGATTTCTTTCACTTAGTAGTATGGTCTCTAGTTGCATCCATTTCCTTACTGATAAAAGCCTCAAATTTATCCTTTTTATAGCTGAATAATACACCATTGTGTAAAATATCACATTCTTTTAGGATTCCTCAGTTGCAGGTCATATGAATTGTTTCCAGGATTTAGCCATGACAAATTGTGCTGCTATGAACATGGGTGCACATGAATCACTGTGGTATGATGCTTTCAGTTCTTCTAGAAAATTATCCAGGAGGAGAATAGCATGTTGAATGAGACCTACAATCCTAGCTTTTTGAGGAATCTCCACACTGATTTCCATAGTGGTTGTGCCAGCCTGCATTCCGACCAACAGCAGCGAAGGGCTCCTTTTCCCCCACAGCCCCTCCAGCACTTGTTATTGGATGACTCCTTGATCATAGCCATTGTTTCTGGAGTGAGATGGAATCACAATGTTGTTTTAATTTGCACTTCTCAAATGACCAATGATGTTGAATACTTTATTCATATATTATTTGTCATTTATATTTCTTCCTCTGAGAAGATGTCCATTTTCGGATTGGATCTGTGAAATTTGGAGACCTGATTTTAAATAATTCTTTATATGTTCTAGACAGAAAGCCTCTGCCGCTTGGGCAGTTGGCTATAATTCTTTACAAGTAGGTGGGTTTTCTCAAGCCTCATAGTCTTGACTTCCTGCTTTGCTCCTCCCCTGGCTCTGAGAAGGTGACATCCCTGCTCCTACCCAGGCCTACCACACTCGGCCCCTGCTCCGCACCCTTGGGAATCTCTCAACTGCCCTCTGATTTTCTGATTTCCCCTTGGCCTTGCTTGCTTCCCTCTTGTTCTACGGTTCCATCAGAGAGCAGTCTTGCTCTCGCCAAAGCTGCCTCCTTCTCCTGTTTCCTTCCCTTTGCATAGAAATATGTGGGACGGGAAGGTGACACTCTGGCTTCTCCTCATACCTCCTCCCACTGAAGGTCAGTTTGCTCCTTTTTAAACCAAACCAGTTGCCATCTCTCTGCTCCACTGAAAATGTTCTCATGCCCAACCTTGTGGCAGAGGTATGAAGTGCTGTCCTTTCAGCCCCCTACTTGAGCTCTCTGTAATATATTTTTTTAAGAGTAGAATATATTTGTTGGAGAGAAAGAAAGCTCCTGTTCAAGAGAGGGACAGGAGGGGGCCCAAGCAGGTGGTCCTCCTCTGTAGCATTTTTTAAATCTAGTTACCTTCTCTTACCTCCAGGGAGGTAGCTGGGGTGGGAGTGGAACAGATTTATTGGGGTATAATGTATATAGCATAAAAGTCACTATTTTAGGATATTTAATATTTATAGAGTTCTGGAGCCAGCACAGCACTATAGATTTGGTATATCCCCAATTTCCCCAAAGAACCTGGGTGCTAGCCCACACCCCAGCCTCAGGCAAGAACTGCTCTCCTTTCTGTCTTTCTAGATTTGCTAACATGACTGCGATAAATAGTTCTTATGGATAATAATCTTGTCAGTTCAGTTTACCAACCAGTGACAGTCCTGTCTGCTAGCAGTCTAAAGAGACCCTCATGTCTTTTTAGCAAAGTGACAATATTCCATAATTATGCAAAGAATTCATTATAATTGTTACATATGCTTTTACACTAACCCAGTGATCCTTTTCCTTTAAAATGGTTTTGTATGCTTGTAACTTTCATTTATTGTCTTTTTCTTTAGGTAGAGGAACAGTTTCAGAGCCTCAAGAAGTTTTATCAAACTGCAATCCCTTGGAAAGAAGAGGTTGATGCTAAAGCCATGTGTTGGTCTGGCTCTGCTGAGAAGCAGTGGCAGTTATATTTAAAGAAGAGTTTTTTAGCCCAAGACCTGGGGCTTGCATTCCTTAATTTAATAAAAATGGTGAGAACATTAAGTGAATCACATTTTCTCCAAGGAGTACTTATCAAAGTCAGAATCATAAATTCAAAAGTTCATTGTCTGTTAATTAACAGTGCTGTTTTCCAAAGCTCTTTGTAGCTTCATTTAACCTGGACCAGTCCTAAAGCCTAGCATTTGTATGCTTACTTGGTCCTGGAGCTCTTACTAATTTATAATGAGAAGACTATGAGCTATTCAGAAGGAAGAACAACTATGACCTCACTGCAACACTGGTACTATGGGAGAGTCCTGCAGAGTTCACTCTAAAGTTCTGACTTATGTTGAAAGCACCCAGCCAGGTCCTTACAGCATTTTCAGAGGCTAATGAAACTTTTGGGATGAATATTTATTCAGAAGAATTTCAAAATTCTTTTGCATCTTGTTCAGACCTTTAGCAGATCCTTCTATAGTGAAGCTCCACTGCATTTATAAATGCACCCTAAACTTGGTAGTTGTATACCTGTGAAATAAGCACAGGTGATACATCCACCTCTGACACAAATGTTTTCCCTAGAATTCTTAAATGATAGTTGATCTCTCCTGCTTTCATTGCCTCAGGTACCTTTAAAATGAAATTGCTTATTTTATTGCTGGGAAATGCCAGCAGCTACAACCAATTTATTTATTTTTATTTTGTATGAATTTAGGACAGGGTCTGCAGGATCTACAGGGTGTCACTGTGTAAATCGGACTCTTAGTGATCCTCCTGTTTTCAGCCTCCCAAGTGCTGGGATTACAGGTGCACACCACCACGCCCAGTCTCAATCTCTGGCTCAGTACCCCCCAGGGACGGGGCCAGCATGGCAGGCCCAGGGATTAAACCCTGGTCACTATGCTCCGTCAAAAAGACGCTTTAGTTTACTGAGCTACCTGGCTGGCTCTGCTACAACCAATTTAAATCAATTTTATTTATTTAAATACATTTTAAAATTTTAAATAAATTTCTCTTCCCATCTTTTCTAACCCTCACTACACAGGGACAAAAAGATATTCATATTTAATTTCTCTGACATGTGTAATTAATTCCTTAAAACATTGAAACCAGTTGCTCTGTCTAATACAAGTCTTTTTTTACAGCTAAATACATACAAATCTATGTTATTTGTGAGGCAGCTTAGTATTTCTTTCCATCCTCTTCCTTTTTAGCGTTGTCTACCATTTTTAAAAAATCATTTATAAAGTAGTCTGAAAACAAAGTATAGCTGCATCACAGTGAATATAAAACCTGGACAGTATGATTTTTTTTTAATGTATTTAGTACAGGGTCTACAGGGTCTCACTGCATAGATCAGACTCAGTCATCCTCCTGTTTATAGCCTCCCATGTGCTAGGATTAAGGCATGTGCCACCACGCCCAGTCTCAGCGGCTATCTCAGTGCACCCTGGGGGCAGGGCCAGTGTAGGAGACACTTTCAGGTCCTCTCCTCAGTCCAAGAAGCCAATATTTGTAATCCCAAAGTTACATTATTGGAATCCCATCAAGTTGATTCCAATCTGCCACTTACAATGCAACCCATGGCGAAAATAAAGACACTAAATTATATTTTCAATTATCGGGGAGTCAAGGGGCTCTAAGTCCAGCCATGAAGATGGCTTTCTGGAACCCAGAGAGAGCGACCCAGGACCTCCCCCGGTTTTTATTCAGTAAGGGAGTGGCTTGAGGAGGATTGACTGAGAATTGTGGGAAGTAGGTGATCATTGTGAGCTGAGCTAGGTGGGTGGCCTAAATTTACCTCTGTCATATGCAGAGAGGATATGCAGAGAGAGTAATCTGCATTATATAGTATCTAATGTTTTGATAAGTCTGGTGCTTCAGCTCTGATGTGGTCTTTCAAGCCCCAGGAAGTCATAGCCTCTGTCTTAAGGCTCGATCCCAGCTGGCAGTGCGGAGCATTAGCTCTACTGTCCTGGCTCCACCCAGCTCACATTAAAGAACAGCAGGTTTACCAGGGAAACATGCATGCCACCTTCAAAGACTATCACCAGCACCTCAGCTAGACCAATATACATTGCTTCAGGCCAATTGAAGGATAAACAGAAGTCCTAGCCAGCTCTGTACAGAACAATACGAGGAAACAGGGTCAGGCTCGGTCACCATGGAGACAGTGGCTCTTCTTACAAGGAGAGCTGCTCAGGTGGTCCTCCACAGGCCGGCAGGGCACACAGGTGATGGAACGCTGCTTTCTGGGCTCTGCCTAAGCAGGCACTTTAGTCTGCTGAGCTATCTGGATGGCCCTTGGACATTCTTGTTTACTAATGAGACCTAAGATGCTACTAGCATTTCATTTTGCTATTTTCATATTAAGTTTGTGACTAAGTAAAACTCACACACCATTTATGCTGCAGCTTCAGCCAACCCAGGTCTCACCTATATGATGTCAGTCAATTATGTCTTACATACAAACATGAGTCTGCATTTTTATTCTTACTTGATTTCACTAGGACTCCACCCACGCTTTTCCCTTGTTAAAATGATTTGGACCTGTTTGCTACATTAGCTATCTCTTCTTGTATTATTTCTGTAGATTGGACAAGTAAACCTGTGGCTGTAATTAATTTGTTAATAAAAGTGCCCCCAAAGAAGATTGATGTCCCAGTTTATGAAGCATTTTGTTCATTAACCAGTTCTTTAAACAATCATGAATGTTCCAATAGTAATTTAACTCACCCATGACCTCACAATCATTTTCTTAAGTCTGTAGTGGGAAAATTCCTCAAATAAACTGCTCAACATAAGACCTCTGTAGCTGAGGGCTTATGAAATACAGGGATATTATTTGACACACATCAAGCTGACTTCTAGTGATGAAGGCATTTTTCCCCCCAAATGCTCATAGAATATTTGATAATGATGGAATTATTGCAGTGGGCATCAGTGTGAAATATACACATCTACCACTTGTGTAATCCTTCCTCTCTCCCCTACTGAAAGTGAGGACATGCTCCTTTCCCTAATTAACTGGTTCTTTTCATTCCTGTACATTTTCAGAAACTGACATTTCTAATTTCCTTGGTACCTGGGGATGTGCTTAATTTCTCTGGAGCTCGGATTCATTTAGAGGAGTTAGGTTTTAGCAGTCCTCACCTACTCCAAACCATGGGCATCGTTTTATTTCCTTTTTTTTTTTTTTTTTTTTTTTTTTTTTTTTTTTTTTTTTTTTTTTTTTTTTTTTAGCTTTTACTGTTTGAAAATGAGTACTGCTAAAACTATTTAGAATAGCATATACATTAAATGTGAGTAAGGTAACTGACAGTATCCTTAAGCATCCAAAAAAAAAAAAAATGGCTAAGGACTTAGCCTATGTTCCTTTGTCATGTGGAAGCTGTATAGAAAGATTGAGTTAGTTTTTGAGTTTTTGTTTGGTATGTTTAGAACATCTATCCAGGTATCTTTTACAGATTTAAGATGGTAGTCAAGCTCCATTTTTTAGGATCTGTAGCAGGAACCCAGCCTACGACATATTTTGTATTATGTCTGAATAAACTCAAGTTTATGCAACACCCAAATTATTATTTGCAGCTCTCAGAAATAGTATTTTACTATCACACTGTGTTAGGCTTTTATCTTTTTTTTTTTTTTTTTTCCCAGAAACCGGGATTGAACTCAGGCCCTTGTACTTCTAGAGAAACACTTATTCTACTGAGCCATCTCCCCAGCTTTAGGCTTTTATCTTGGTACCAATACAAGCTCACTTCATCTCAAAATCTTCTTCACCATTGTCATGATAAATTAAGCTTCCTTTTCTTGATAAAAAGTAAAAATCACATGACAGATTTACTGATTTTGTGACATTGTGGGATAGCAAATTGCTGGTAAAGTTAAACATTATTATTTTTTTTTAATTTGTGGGGTGGGTAGACATTCAGACAAATAATACCGACAGAACACAGTGACTGGCTGGTTTGGGAAGGGCCTCTGCTTGGGTTTTGTTGCCATGGCTGATATTCCAAGCTTGAGACTAGAAAGCTTTTGGTTCATCCAAAAATCAAGAAGATCAGACAAATTGATTTAGGCTTTCACTCTAATAGATGAATGTGCTAATTTATCATAGGAATGAACACCAGGAATGCCACCTAGGGCCAGCCCACGTGTTGCCAAGGTAACTGGATGCAGGCCATCAGGGGTCCAGTTGCTGTACATGAACATAGATGGAAAACGGGGAGCTTAGTGGTTTATTTAGACTGGCTTAGGACAAAATTTTCCATGCTCTTCACAGAAGTAAAATGAGCACTATGTCTACCAACCAGACACTTGGAAAATGAGTTAATTTTTCTGAGTAGCCAAAATATTAAGTCTTCCAAGCACAAAATCACTTGTGCTAAATCCTGCTATACAGCTAGAGATTAAGACACCTGGTACAGATCGCCATAGCCTTCTGACTTCAGTCGTCTGTCTTGTAGGAGAGGTTAGGATAATTGGGGCTGGCATTTTTGACCTCTCTTTCCAAGGCTGATCATTTTTCAGCTAGGGTTTATTTTTGGGAAACACAGGGTATACACGATGGATGAGTTTAAAGGAAAAAAATCAGAAGTCCTGAACAGTCCACTCCCTGCTTTCCTTGGATGTCAGGATGTGGGCATATTCTAATGAGTGTGTTCAAATAAAAGGTGGAATGCACTTTTAAATTTATACAGTAAAAAAATTCTTGACTTCCAAATGTATCAATCCCGATGCTCATTAAATGGCCCTTCAAACACTAGAAAATAACGAGACGGCAGGTGGGAACTCAAGCACTGCTTTTGTATTTCTTGTGAAGGAAAAAAACACTATATGGATTATTAATTTAACAGGCAAAAAAGAATGAGATAGCAAATGAGAGGAAGGAAGCTCACAGTGTGGAGAGCACCTTGGAAAGCCAGCAGGCTGGACGAGCGGAACTCGGCCACCTTCGACTTGCACGGCAGCTTGAAGCTACCTCACAGGAGCCCGTGAAGCGGCGGTGGGCAGCACTGAAGGAGCAGTTTAAGAAGGTGAGGAGGTGTGCGGTGCTACTGAGCCGGAAAAAAGAAGGGAAATTCTGATACATGCTGCCACGTGATAGAACCTGAAAACCCATAAGGGGAGTGAAGTACACCCAGCACCGAAGGATAAATACTGCATGATTTCACTTGTGCTGGTAGCCAAGTCCATAGATACAGAAAGCACAACTGAAGCTGTGCAGGGCTGCAGAGAGGGAGCAGGAAGCGGGAGGTGTAGAACGGGCACAGTTTCTGTTTGGGTTGCTGCAAGGTTCTGGGCTAGATGAGAATGATGGTGGCACCATCAAATGGGTGGATGAATGCCACTGAATTACATGCTCAAGATGATAAAAGGGTGAATTTTGTTATAGTTTACCACAATAAAAGCAGGAAAGAGCAATAGAGAACAAGGGCACATGGTGGTTTAGCACCATGAGCTCAAAGGGTGTGTTAGTTTCAGAGGCTGAGAAGTTTCATAGCACACCCGGTCTTCACCAGCATGGCCATCACATATTTGCTGGAGGAGGCAAAGAGCATCTACACCCACGTCCAATGTTTATTTCAGACTACTCACAGCTTAAAGGTGCTCCAGGAAGCGCTTATGCCTGTGTCTGCACTTGACCTCGGTGGCAGCGGCCAGACCATTTCAGACCTGCAGAAAAAATGGAATGAAATGAAGCCACACTTCCAGGTAATAGTAATAATAATAATAATAATAATAATAGGATGAATTTAAGTGAATTTTTTAAAAAAAAATTTAGGGGCTGGTGAGATAGCTCAGCAGACTAAGTGCCTGCTTAGGCAAGTGCAGTGACCGTGGTTTGATTCCCCAGCACCACATGCCAGGCCAGCTCCGCCCCCAGGGTGGGCGGAGCCAGCCAGAATCCAGGCAGAGTGGTGCACACCTGTAATCTCAGCACTGGGGAGGCTGAAAGTAGGAGGATCACCACGAATCCGAGCTGTATTGTGAGACCCTACAACAACCAAATATATTAAGAAAAATTACAAACTGTTCCACTGAAATTTATCTAATTGTTTTTTAACTGTCTGGTGAATTTTTTTTTTTTTTTTTTTTTTTTTGTCTAGACCTTGATTGTAAAGACGTATTTTTCTACGCCTTTTCTGCTTGCACTTATATAATACACAAACATCTGGGCCACAAAATGGCCTAAATTTACTTTTAATGTTAGATTATCCCATGTTATTAAATTATAACTGCATTTAGCATATATCTCCACTCTGATTAATCTTTTTAGCATATATATTCACTCATAGAGACAGAAAGCAGACTAGAAGTTCCAGAGCCTGCCGAGAGGGAGGCAGGATTCGGGAGCTGTGTAATGGGGACTGTTTCTCTTTGGGGTGCTGCAAAGGCTGTGGAGATGGATGAGGTTCATGGCTACACATTAATGTCAGCCCATTAATGCCACTGAATTGTGTGCTCTAAATGGCCAAAATAGTGAATTTGGTTATAGTTTACAGCAAAAAAACAACAATAGAAAACAAGGGCACTTAGTGGTTTAGGATGTCATTACTCTAATTACTAGAGAATGTTTTAAATGCAAATATTTCAGAACAAGGATAGGCAACATTTCACTTCAAGACTCTGATACTCTTGGTCTCTGAAATCACACTGGGATATTACCATGCCCTCCCACCAGCACTGTGGTCCCCACTGCCATCCCAGGAATTTTGTTGTGCTTTCTCTCACTGTGGTGAATGGCCAACTGGTGGGCAACTTGTTATACTCAGCTGAATTGAACTAGCATGGTACTGGTGTGGGAGGTCACCTGAGGGTTGTTGCCAGCAGCATGAGGCAGAACAGGAGCAGCTGTCCAGAAGCTGTTAGGGAAGCTGTTTGGAGAAGCTATTGGGGTTGTTGGATGCCATGGGTTCTCCTGCGCTGCTCTTCTACTGAGTGAGCTTATCATGCTGGCTTTCCCAAACAACTTGCTTGTTCTTATTGGAGGAGGAGCTCAGGAGGTTCGTTGTCACTGAGAATGACGAGAGTTCATTCTAGGGGCGCACTGGTCCTCATCTTGAGCGTCACTTGCTGGCTCTGGAGGAGAAGGTAGTGCCCTGCTCAGCTTCATGGAGCTTATTGCTTTGGTTTTCCTGGTGGGAACTCAAGCTCAGGACCTCACTGTTGCTGAGGATGGCTGCAGTACTCTTGTGGGGAACTCTGGTTTTTACCTTGAACATTGCTTCCTGGCTCCAGTGCAGATTCCTCAGCCTGCTAGCACAGATCATTCATCACACTGGCATAGACTTTCTAGCTTCTGCCTCTGACCTTTGGGCCTTCCCAGTGCAGATCTATGAAGCAGGCCTGCATGAGACGCTATGGGCTCTAGGCCTCCAGTTGGACTTGTGGGAGGCATTGCTGTGGGCTGTAGGCTTTCAGCTGGACTCATGCAGGACTTTAGGATCCAGGCTCTCAGCTGGATTCTTTGGTCTTTAGTGTGGACAGATTTTCTGCACTTCTTGTATATGATTCTTTGGGTGATTAATTATAAAATAACATTAAAAAATGTGTCCTGCATTGTATTATTTCCCCTTACAAAATAAACCCTAAACCATAACATTTACCCTTCTCGGAATAACCTCAGGATATGATAGACAGAACTTCAAGTCATGTCCCTGGCTCCCGACTGCCCTCATACATTTCCCACATTATCTTCAGGTCTCAGTTTTGGGAGTCTGCTGTAAAATTAAGACACGCATGTTTTTATCTGACATTATTTTATAATTGTCACTTTTTAAAAATCCCCAATATGTAATACAACTACCATTGTTAATTTTCTATCATCGTATTTTGAAATTCTGTATCTTTTTAATTGTTTCTTGCGTTCTGTTTTTGCCTTTGTTGTTATTCTGTTTTTGTTTTCTCTCTAAAGATAAAAAAAAATTAAAAATCCCCAAATAAGATGATTGAATATTCTTCTAGAAAATATCTAAACATAGGTTCCTCAAGACCAAACTTAGGTAAAAATATAACCACCACCCTTCCTGTGTATATACACCACTGTAACACAGCAAACTCACCAAAACTCTCAGAAAATGTGCCTAGCCTATGTTATGCTCTTTGATATACCCTGTGTTCCATGCCTACTGGATGTCATTTGAGAACATGATGGGTAGAAGCTCCCCTTAATCAAGACCCACTGCCAAGTCTAGGTAGCTCTGTCACTGTGAGTGCATGTTTTGGTGCCCACATGCTTCACTCGAACTTGAGGACCCCTTTTGAGGGAGTCTTCTGAACATTACCTCGACCCAAATCATTTCTATTACTGTCTCAATGACTTTTCTAGTTACTGAGACAAAATACCCAACACCCAAAGTTAAAAAAGGAAAAGTTTATTTTGGCTTATAGTTTGTGAAGGATTCAGTCCATACTCAGCTGGCTCCAAGACAGGGTGGCATGGCAGAGGGCCACTGAGGAGAGAAACAGTTCATGGTGTGGCAGGCAGAGGGCAGTGGCAGCAAGCAGCAGTGGCAGAAGGCCTGCCTTCTCTACCTTTGTATTCCATCACAGCACAAGCCTATTGATTGGAGTCTCTCAAGCTCAGGTTTGCCTCTGTTGTCCACATCCTTCACTGCAGCATCACCCCCTTACTTCACATTTGGACACCCTAACCCAGCCACCTTCAAAGTGCCCCACTTATGACCACAGGAGGATTCTGGGGACATCTAGATATAGCTACAACAACTACTGCGACCTTTAGTACAAGATCCACTCCTGAAATTACAGTATCACCCAATTAAGGTGTCTGTCCTTTGCAAGTTCTTTTCCAGAATCCAGATTCCTATAAGGGATATCTGAGCAGTGCTGGGTAGAAGGGAAGGCAGTTTAGTCCTCTCTGCATGTGGTGGCTATTTGTGGACTATGGGATGACCATTTTGAAGCATTACATCTAAGGTGCTGTTCAGGTGGTTCTTCATTCTGATCATTCTTTAATCAGAGAGTACAAGTAATTCCCTGATATATTTTTACACTTGCCTTCTCTTGGTGTTCTTACCATACCATCTGATTCCAGTTTATATTAAATATCAGAGATGATTATGGGCTTCCTAAATAATTACATGTCTTAGTTACTCTTCTCTCATTGCTGGGACAAATATCCGACACCCAAAATGAAGGAAGGAACAGTTTATTTAGCTCACAGTTACTGGAGGGTTCAGTCCATATTCAGCTGACTCCAAGGCAGAGGGGCACAGGGCAGAGAGCAGCACTTCATGGTGGTGGAAGAGTAGCAACAACAACAAGGGGTAATGGCTACAGAAAGTCTGTCTCTCTGTCTCTTCTACTACATTCAGGCTCTCTGCCCCAGGCTAGGGGAAGTACTCACACCCATAATCCCAGCAGTACTAAAACCCATAACCTCAGCCTTGGATCACCCATAATCCCAGTGGATCATGAGTTAATCACAAATTCTAGAAGTCCCCACCCCATGACTGTATGAGGCTTTGGGGGGACAACTAGACACAAATCCATAACACTACATTTACTTAACAAATGACTAGAATATTAGATGTGCCACAGAAGTACAACACTTCCCATTTCACCATCTATCTCTCAAACACTGTTTTGTGTATTGGTCATACATTTCTGAGCAGATAGGAATGGAATGAGCTATCCCAAGCATCAGACACAGTGCCTGGATTTGGAGGGAGGCTCAAACTAAACATTTCTTAACAAATGAGAGAATGACTCGTGATTTAGATTGTCACTTGTAAAGTAAAACCTTTCTAAAAGCCGTGTTTCTTATATTGCTTTCTCTTTTAGCAACTAAAGGATGAGGTTCAGTTCATCATGAAAGAATCAGAAGAGCTAAGTGGCCAAGGAGCCCCCGTGAAAGAGAAGTCTCAGCAGCTCCAAGATCTTATTTACCTCCACCAGCAACAAACAGAGAGAATCCAGGATTATGAGGATGTCCTCTACAAATTAGTCCAGTTCCACCAGGTCAAGGAGGAGGTAAGACTTGCTGCAGATATCTGAGAGATCCCGGGTTTTACACCAGGACATTAAAAATTAATTATTATGTAATAAATCAGAGTCAAGTTGCTCAACCTGATATTAGAAGCCTATACAAACTGATCCCTAGCTTATCCCTCAGTGAACCCCTCTCTCCCCTTCAATTCCTGCCAAACTGAGCTCTTAGTCCCTCAAGGATGACAGTGCGCACATTTCTGTTCCACGCCTTGACTCCTAGAGTACCATTACCTAGCAAGTGTTTTTTCTCCCTGTTGAGAAAATCCTATACGTCATTCCCAGAGTCCTACCTCATTTGGAGTCTCTTAAATTCCTAGAGATTTCATGGATTCTCTGACACATGGTTAGAGTCTCAATCCTTAATTGCTTCTTGATCAAAGTAGATTTTTTTCCCCAACTCAAATGTAAGTTCTTTGAGGGTAGAAGCCAAGCACAGTATTTATGAATCTCAAGTACCTGTTTGTTGGTTGCCTTTTCAACAAAAAGTTCAGAGTTTTTCACCTGTATTAGCACAGAGTTAGAGGTAAATTGATCGCCCTTTAAAACAACCTCTGAGTTTGTTCAGGTCATAGTATATCTGGATCTCCGCTAAGGTTTTAGCTTACAACTAACAAAGGTATTTCCTTCCTTCCTAGAACTGGCAGTGTTACCCTATTGGGTTTATAGTTCTACAACATGGGCTCAGCCATAGTATTAATAATTATGGGGCTGGCCAGATAGCTCAGCAGACTGAGGTGCCCGACTGGGGTGCCATCCCTGGTGTGCCATGCTGGCCTCGCCCTTGGGGCACACTGAGATAGCAACTGAGACTGGGCGTCGTGGCTCCTGCCTGTAATCCCAGCACTTGGGAGGCTGAAAACAGGAGGTTCACTCCGAGTCCAATCTGTGTAGTGAGACCCTGTAAACCCTATACTAAATACATTCAAAAAATATGAATTAACTTGGCAATAATTTGACTAGCTAGTAAAGTATGCACCAGAACATAGATATAAACAGTTGTCTTCCTATAAAAGCCAGGTTAATTGTTAATGGCTTAAATTCCAGCTAGGGCATCTCACCAAATCCAGAGAACTGGAATCTGTAGAACAGCTGAAGAATCTACGCGATACTCCTGATGCCCAGATTCACCTTGATCGCTCTCGGGAGAAGCAGGCACATGTGGAGCATCTCTGGGAACTGGCCCTCTCCTTAGGTGTGGACATCATCTCTTCAGCACAGCGGCCTGTAAGCATCCTAGCACAGCATCTTCTGTAACTCTGCCTCACTGGGGACCGCCCGTAATAGGAAAGAAACCAGGCAGCTTACTATACATTAAGTTCAAATATAAAGTAAACCATTAAAGGAATTATTTGTGGTGAGTTTCTACCACCTATAAAAACTGTTTAAAGACAATTTGAATGCAAACGCTAACACATTTATTCTCATATTATTTTCAAAGAGAATTCTATAGTCCTACATGATATTTATGTTTTCATATTTGAAATGTGTTTCATGTAACTAAGAATTAATCTTTTTATTTCATCTGAATTAATTGAGACTTTAAAACTAATCCTCAGGATGGTTATTGGAAAACTTTAGAGTGTCAAGAATAACTTGGGGCCTATGAATCTACTTTTGAACCTGTAAATCTTATGAATCAAATATCACTTTTACAGATTTAGCTACATTTGAGATATGCTCAAGGTATGAAATGTATAACAGATTTCAAGGACTTAAGCTGAAGAAAGATCATATTAATAATGTATATTGGGTTTTTATAAAATGATAATATTTAAAAATATTTCTTTAAGGAAACTATGCTACAAATGTTTTTTTTTTAAGTTTTCAATCATTACTGGAAATGTGAAAATTATTTTTATTGCTCACATTATATGGATGATACCACTCTAGCAATGCAGATGTGGGGAACTAGATACTAAATTTGTTCTAGATTATCACCCTCATTTTATAGAGGAAGAACATGAGGCCCAGAGACACCAGCTGGCCTAACCCTAAAAACCTAGTGTAGAGGTGCCGAAGCACCCCGGCGAGCTATTGGTTTGGCATAGCGCCACTGGAGAAATCTCAGCAGAGAAGTCTAAAAGAAAAGGAAATAATACTTCTGGGTCAAAATTTCCTAAAGAATGAATGTCTTGAGCTATGTTTTTATAAAAATATTGCTCAAAATTCTTAACTTGAGGGAAGAAAAGATTGTAATTTATTCCATTAAGATGTATAACATTAATAAAATTTTATTTGAAGGTTCATTTAAGATATACACTAATGCAGGGAACCTGAAAAAAAAAATATATATATATATATAAAACTGAAAGAAATACAAGCTTTTGTTGCTGATAACAGAATCTACTTTTGCCAGGAAAGAGCTTTCTTTTTTAAGAGTTTTATTTTATTAATGAGTTTATTTAAAAATAAAATGGAGCAGGAAAGGAAGATGTCTTACTTTGTACAAATAATGCAAATTGTTCGCCAACCTCTTCTGGCCTTGGCCCCAACAGCCCCTCTGTGATAAGCTGAGCTGGGAGAATGCTTGACAAATGAACCCAAGGTTAAACTCAAGTTGACAGGAAAATTATAGTGGAGAAGCAGAACATTTCTAATGCATATGCTACGTCTTTTGAAGTCAAAATTATAGCCTGTGGTGAACGGTGTCTCTGGGAAGTAGGGTGAGGTGAGTGAATCTTCAGAACTGGAGATTCCAGGCTGAAAATGTCTTTCCTATCCTGTTGGCTGTCTGGCTTCTTTCTGCAATAACATTATTCAAATGTATGTAAGGCAAAATAGGTTAGGATCCTAAGTCTTCTTTTACCATGTCATTTCTGAAGCTCATGGTGCAGGTAAGCAGTGCCTCTGTTTCACGGGGGTTTCATTCATTCCTTTTGCTTGTCTCTTGTGTTTAGAATTGCTCTAATGTTTCTGCAAAGAACTTGCAGCAGCAGCTGGAGGCCCTTGAAGTGGAGCACATGAGCTGGTGCATGAGAGCCAAGGAGCAGGAGCGAGCCTGGTCCTGCAGCGTGGAGTTCAATGCCACAGGAGATGAGATAAATGAGGTGGGGCCACCATACAGGGCCACTGCCCGAAGACCCCACAAAACATATGCACTGGGGTCCATACATATGTATGTTTGCACACACCAACACACACACACATACACACACCAGGAGATTTTCTTTCTCTCTTTGCCCCTTGGTTTTCCAAACAGTGGCCCCAGCCTTCTGAAAGTTTGAGCAAGCTCCAAGCTCACAAATGCCTTGGAGTCGGTATGGTATCATTCCATTGAAAAGCGTAGAATGCAAAGTTACGGTCTTTTTCTGTGATTGCTGTTGTTGGTTTGATTTTTGCTTGTCTTCCCCATTCAAAGTCTCACAGCAGTCATTTGCTTGAGTGGTTCATGCAGCATTATGGGGCAGAGGAAAGGGTGGCATGGCCTGGGGGTGGCCTGCAGAGATTCTATTTAAGTGCTGTTGACTCAGGGTGAAGGAGGTGCAGAGGCCAGGAGATCAGATACTTCGCTCCAAGTGTTGTCGCCGGAGTCAAGTGGTTGATTTCAAGCTGAGTGGCTTTTCTGGCAAAACAATGCTTAGTGAAAAAGAAATAGCAGATGAGAGTGGTCCTCCTTATCCCTGCAACTCCTGCATGCACAGTTCCACCATCCCTAGATATGCATAGTCACCCACCCCCAGTTAAGCTTTCTGTTTGTAGGCAAGGGCTCTAATTCTTGGCTAAGAACTGATAGTAGAACACAGGCTACCCATAAATTCCAGATTTATCTCCCCTGAGAGCATGTTTCTCAGTCAACTAAGCCACAAGTCCCCTGGGAAATTCAGAAAAGAAGTTAACCTTCTTGAACTTTAAGTCTCTGTCCAGTCGGCATAATCTGGCCTCCACAGGGTCAAATAGCATGAAGTGACACTGAAGCAAAGACTCAAGCAGGTGTGACCATGTTAACAGCAGCCAAGGCTCTGAAGTACCCCACTGCAGGCCACACTCCGCAAACTGCTGGCAGGTGTGGCCGGAAGGACAGTGAGAGAAGAAGAGAGCAGATGTAACGACTCAGATCCCCTTCCACAAAAGGGAAGCAGGAAGCAGGATCTAATGACTGTTTTCATTTTTATAATATGCTCTAAAATCCTAATCTCTGCTTGTGGTTGGTGTTCTAGGTAGTGACCTTGGGCTAGAACCCTGTCAACTCCTCTTGGGTTGAATCTGTAATGGTTCTGCCCTCTGCATAGTACCATCTCCTCATCTAGTTACTGTCCTACAGTTTATACTCCAATCAGCCTTTGCTAAAGAAAACAGTCAGAGCTTGTTGGTCTCCCTAAGGCTATGAAATCTGGATTTGTGGCTATGGAAACGACATTTTAATATTGCCCCAGTCTTCTTCATTCTTCCCTCCTGTGTGCTCCATCTCCCTTCTCTTCCTTGTCCTCTCTTCCTCTTTCTTCTTCTCCTCTTCCTGCTCCTTTTTATCTCTGTGTTGTGCAAACCCTCCCTCCCTGCAGTGACGGCCCAGCTCTGTATTCACCCAGAACACAATCAGAGCAGGCTAAGGGCATTCCCAGCCTCCCCTGGCTTGGTTTCTATTCCCCTAGGAGCTGTGGTATTTCTGGAGGTGGGTCTCCTGTTCTGGCGCTTCCAGCAGGAGGTCTATTTATGGAACCTGCCTTGTGATGAGCTTGCTCTTGGAGCTAGACTGCAGGATGACAGATGATACTTCCAGTCATAGTAGGGACACCCCAGGATTGTTTGTGCCACAGCAGGAATGAGCTACTGGATACATGCAGGTTGGATTGGGGAGTCAGATATTGCTTCAACACACTCTGAGATATTAAGGGAGGTAGACTTCCCATGTGCCTCTACTTCATATTTAACAAATCTCTGATGTAAGTGTAAAAAACCTTCAAAATCCTTAGATCCTTTCCTCTTTTCTTTTTGTTTTTGTAAAGACAGATTGGGAATGTTAGTGAAGCACCCGGACAATGATTTTCCTACCACAGGCTAATGGGAAAATATCAGGGATATTTTCAGTGTTCATTAGTAAGACAAAGAGAGCTGTGTTCTACTTTGTACTGCAATATCACAACACAAATGGGCGGTGAGTTTCCACAGTGGTCATAGTATTGATACCTAGATATCATTGCTATTACTATCATTATTAGTTTTTAGATTCAGCACACTATGTAAAGGGAAACATAATCTGTACCCAATTTTTGTATACAAATTAAAATAAAATGTCTTGCCTATGAATTAACACATTGCATTTGATTTTTAAATTTTATCCTAGGACATTGTACTTTTAAGGTGCTTTAAGTCTTGGAAACTCAGTTCCAATGGAGTGAACGGAGGATATTGAGTTCCATGTCTTTATTTTTCAGATGAGAATCCTAAGGTCTACATACGTGATTTTCACTTGCATAGTGTGCTAGAGGAGTGGTTGTTTATAGTATGTCAGATGGTCAGCTTTGGGCTAGAGAGTCATTTGTTGGGCATCAACAAATTGGCATTTGCTAACTTTAAAATATTGCATTTACATAATGTGGTCCCATTCAATCACCACATGGTCTGATGTTGAATGTATCTTTTTGTCTATTTTTTCCCTTCTGTCATTGGTTTCTAATATTTCTGTCTTAAGATGTTTATGTGACCTGATATAATGTCACAAGTTCTTTGGACATTTCAATAAAAATGTCTTTCTTGACTGTGCCGTAGCTAACTTAATTCTTGATTCTGGTGAAAATCCTTGCAAGAGATCTTGGTATTCAAGGCAAGAGGGTGTAAATGTGACTTTTAGAATTGAATATGATATTCCTTATGGAAAAAAATAATGATTTCATACCTTGATTATCATTGTTGAGTTAAAAAAACAATGTTTCTAATTTTATATCAAGACATAGGAAATTGTAAAACCTTCTTTTCTTTACTTACCTTCTAGAAAATATACCTGCCAAGCTAATAGATACTTTTATTCATTTCATACAAAGATACATTTATATGCATGAATGTTTATTATCACTACATATTTTTTGTCTTGCCATATGAATAAGTTAATGCACAAAGCACTTTTATAGCATTGTAGGCATATTCTTCAGATACGGTGTCTCTGTTGCATGCAAAGAACATCAGGGGCTTCTCATTCTTTACATGTCTACATTTAGAAATGTAATGTAAATATTGAGCATTTTTTTTTCTTGGAACCTAACAAAAAATTACTTTTATATTTACATGCTGTTAATAGAAATTTACGAATGAAAAAAGAGACAAGGAAAAGAATATTGTGGGAGGGTCCTGCTTCAAGGTTGTATATGGTGAGATTTTTGGACTTATGTGCAAACATGAGAAGTATATAATTCTTTAT